GCTGATGATATATAGGACTGATTGATGAGAGTGATGATTGGTAAGATTGATGATAGATCATACTAATTGATGGGACTGATAACTGATAAGGTTGATGATAGATAAGACTGATGATAGATGAGAGTAATTGATTAAACTAATGACTGATAAGATCAATGATAAATAAGATTGATGGTAGATAAGACTGATGATTGATAAAACCAATGATATATAAGTTTGGATGAGACTAATGATTGATAATACAGATGATAGATAAGATCGATGATTGATGAGATATGATCAATAAGATCGATTACTATTGGATTGGCCCAAAGATATATATATATATATATATATATGATACAAGAGACATGAGATAAGATATACATGATACAAGATATATGATATATGATATGATTGATATGTTCAATTGATCGATGAAATTGATTGACTGATTGAACAATATAAGAGACATGACTAATGTACAACAAGACTATTATTATGTTGATATGAATACACATCATATGACTGAGAACACATGATATGTAACACTTTTGATAAGAAAAAATGACACGAAGGTACATGATTTATCACTATTTATTGGAATATGATTTTTGCATTTATATATTTCTATTTTTTGCATTGATTTTAGTCATAGATTTTGGTGACTAGTTGGGCTTTTATGCTCTATTTAATGTGTATTAAAGAGCTAATAAAGGGATTAACATTTATATACTAAATTTATTTTCTATGAGAATAATGATGATTTCAATTGTCATGCTTCAATATAATACAAGAATGGAAGAAAAATAATGTTTGAATATCCCGGTGAATTTTATGTCAGAATGGGTTTCATTGGCCAAAAAATTTACACTAAGGCTAGCGCAACACTTGCATATCATCATCTCTAGTACTATTTTACATATTTTTAGGTAAGATTAAAGAACCAGTAGAGTGAGATTGATTTGGGCGACAAGTTTAAGTTTTCTTTTTTTCTTCTGTTAGTTCTTCAGTTTATGGTCTTGATATATTTTAGTAATGAGTTACTTGGATTGAATATCATGATTATTATATATTTTATTTTTGGATTATGGACAGATTGTGTAAATATTGGATGAATAGCAACATATTTATATTTTATAGTACTTACATTATATGAGATGAAATTAGTAAGATCTGATCTATGATTAAGAAGATAAAAAAATATAATTCTTTTCAATTTAGATCTTGGGATAACATAAAGTGATATCAAAGTAAAGATTATTAGAGGAATTGAATTATAGTAAGAGCTGTATGATTAATTATGAGTGGTTTAAACATGGGATGATATCTTGCATAAATAAACATATATTGTATGCATAATTGAATATGTATTATATTTTAATTGATCAGGCAAAAGGATTATACTGGTGGAATATATGTATTTAAAGGAAAATGAAATTCTAACTGAACGAGATACATGAGTAGTTCAATTATACCTGAGGGTGTCCTAAAGTTTGTTGATATAATTGCACAGCTAGTTAGGTGAAAGCACCTATTTAAAGTAATTGTAATGTGTCTGATGTGGGAGAAGACATGCAAACATTAGAGAAAACCTAACCTTTTCAAGCATGAGTTTTTAAATATCATAGATTTAGAGTACTTTAGATATAGAATTTACTTCTTAAAACTATAGCTATTAATTTTCAATAGCACATCCTCTTTATTCAACCAATAACATATATTAAGTAGTTCATATAATAAGTACTAGAGTAACCTTAGGGTAATTCAGATCATCGTATGATCAATACTCTACTCATTACTTTATTATTTGATACAACATGTATACTTACATAGAACAAGATTTGCACCATAACATAGTAAGTAAATTAAAATATAAAGAAAAGTGCCTATCACCTTTGCAACTCCATATTTCGAGGAGAGGTCACTTTCATAATTACTTTCATTTTTATTTAGATATCTTTTCAAGTTAATAATAAGCCCACGTATTTGCCCCATCCATCTCCAAAGGTAAACTTCATAAGTGTTATGTTTTTTGGGGTTAGAAAAAATTATTTTGATATCATGAATAAGATTATATAGAGTATTATTTTTAATCAATAGATCATCTACTTTAACTTCAATATTTTTCCATTTCTAATCTTGAAAAACATAATTCATCATACTGTGGTATGCACACATATAATTTTTTAAACCAAAGGGCATTATGTTATAGTAATATAACCCATTATTTATGATGACGGTGATCTTCTCATAATAGATTAGATGCATTTTAATTTGGTGATACCTCAAGAAGGCATCTAAAAAGCTCATCACATGATAGTGAATTATATAATCGACTAAGGCATCAATACATGATAGCAAATAACTGTCTTTTTGGAAAGCCTAATTAGATTTGTGAAGTTAACACATATTTTTTTATTTTCTATTTGACTTATGCACCATCAACAAATTTGGAATTCACTCTATATATTGTAGGTATATAATGAATCGACCTCTAAGCTCTTTTACAGTTCTTCATAGATTTTCTCAGTTAACATGGTCACGACCAACCAAACTTTCTGCTTAAATGGTCTCATTTTCTTATCAATATTCAACCTAGTGGGCAACAACAATATTTATGCCTGGCACCTCATCTGTTGACTAGACAACTACATCCACATTTGCCTTGAGAGTTATGATCAACTCGACCCTTTGCTCTTTATCAAAATCAACATTTATTCAAAAGCTATGATTTTGTTTTTCTTCAAAGATTAATACTTCCCCAATAACTTTAGTTATATCTAACTCAAATCCTTTTTACATAGTTAGAAAATTTCTTCCCATTGCTTTTTGATAATACACCCAAGATTGTAGCAAGTTATCTCTTATTGTCACTACATGACCTCCTAGGAACTTCATGACAACATGGTATATAAAGATGATTGCTCAAAAATTTGTTTTAGTAATTGTTGACAAAAGATTGTATGATAGGTAGTTGTCAAATAGAGAATAATAAAGTTGGCATTGGTAGTATCCTCCTTTCTCCTTCTTTCTATGTGATTGGCAATACAATCATCCCTTCAATCTCCTTGCACTCTAAAGAGAAGACGGAAAATTGACACAAGGAGAGAAGCGCTAAGGTTCATCTTCTCATAAACACTCTTGAAAATAATGTTCACCGAGCTCTCTATATTTATGAGGATGCTTCTAATCTAGTAATTTGTGATAAGTGTTGTGAAGACCACTATGTCATTATAGGAGTTGCCATCACTAGCCAATTAGCTTAAGTAAAGGTAATAAGTTATACCTCAATAATATATGCTTTTGAGGTACTCCCTAAGTTCACCTCTCCCAACTAAAATTCATTTAAGGTTCACCTGATGAGAACCTTTTCTCCAGCTCCATAAAGTGTTGGAACCACCCCAACAATATAAATCGCTTGCACTAGGAACAGTTCATAATGGAATTCATCTACAGGCAACCTACCTTGCTTTTTTTTTTCCTGTACCAATTAGAACAAACTCTGAAAATTTATCTACCTTGATGAGGTCTTCACCATGTTGTAAAGGTGTCGGCACTCCTTGATGTCATTGTTGTAATCACGATGGTAGGCACAATCCTTCAACTATCACAAAGGTGACTTTCTGACTTCATAGTTGTCCATCTTATTTTCTTTATTTTGAACAGCCTCCTCAACTAACTTGGCCATTGAAACTCACAGTAAATCATACTTGATAATGGGCGAATTGTAGGCATTAATAGCCTCTCATGATGGCGATCTTCTGAGCGTTCATCATGTCTTACTCACCCCTCAAAGCGACTAGTTCTCCGATGATGTGGAACTCTCCTCTGGTCATGGTAAAATCTTCTCTACCCTGACTCTTGAGGAGATTTCTTTGGTTCCAAGGAAATTAATGGAATTGTCCTCCTAAGATGAATTCTCCTTCCTCCTGACCATCGCAATGGCTTTAATATCATCAATTTACTCCTCAGTATTGATGTGACTATTTTTGAGTTCTAGCAACTAGCCAAAGTTCACGACTGCTACAAACCATGTGCATACCTAAAAGGTCATTCATAGAGAACTTGAGTTAGAGCAAATTAAGCCACATGTGCTTTTAAGTCCTTCACATCTAACGCAACCTTTTGAAAAAAAAAGGTAACGAAACTCCTTAGTGGTTCTTACCTCATTCATAGTCAGCTCAAAAAATCTTTAGCAAATTTTATACCCTATAAATTGAGTCACTGACATCCTCTCGAACTCCCCAAAAAAAAAGGCAAATATGAGACCACCTCGAAGGAGATTCCTTAAAGATGGTTAAAAAAATATTATACACTTTAATGTATCATTTATATCAAGCATGCGAACCAACTCAAAACAACATGGTCAATAAGATCTTTTTTTTTTTTAATTAACTTGGCCTCAACAATTTCTCTCAAGGCATTAACTAGCTACAACTTTCTCACTTTCAGGGTAGTAAATGGCATCAGGGAATGGAGAAGTCAAGACTACCTCTTGACAGTCTCCTCACAACAAAATCAAATGATCTTTCTAGCAACTCCACTCTACGAATTATTCTTGAAATTCCCTCCGGTGCACCTTGAAGACATCATCTCCTCAAATTCAATAAACCTTCAAAAACTCCTATTTCTCAATATATTATTCTCCGTTCTTTCACTGTTACTCTACTTCACATAAAACTCTTCTAATTAATTTAGATAACGTTAATACTCTAGAGCTTAAATATATGATCATATACGAATAGTCAAAAGATTATTTTAAAATTTACCCCATTTAAAATACTTCGAAATACACAAAATATATCATGATATTCTTAATCATTTTTTCAAAACTTAAAACACATACTATAGAAAAAAACTCGCATTATACAGTACAAATATTTACAGCAAAAAGTTGCAACGTGGAAAAAAAAAAGAAAAAAAAAGGTTTAAAACGCAATTAAACTATTTCTCTAAAGATCTCAATAGTCAAACTCAACGCATTATACGCAATATTCTTAACTTGAACTATAAAATATAGCATCCTCAACTTCTCCCTCAATGGAACAAACAAAACATGTAACTGATAAATTTTCACCAAGTTCATAGAAGCAGAATGAAAAATATCTTACCACTATAACAATAAATAGCAAAGCATAAGAGCCGATTAAATAAAGTTTTATTAATCAACATATATGAGCATAACAATAAGTGAAAGATATCACCACTGAGAAAGTTTGTTCCTCATCCCAACCTATATTTGCCCAGCAACGCTCCGGATGAACATATTCCAAGGGTAAGCTTTGGTGAATAACAGAATGAAGAACTATACTGGCACCGTATGAATCAACATGTTAATTTCCAATGGCCATCAGGCTGCTCTGTTTCATTAGCTTTCGTCCATCGCATTGCCACCCTCAGTGCACCTTTGTGAATGAGCATCCTTGCTCTCATCATGTCTTGAATCTGGCTCTCCGCCAGATTCTGATGATCTCGTAACAGTGTCCTCCAAAGCTTCCAGGAAAGAGAGCACCGTGAAGTTGTCTGTAAAGGAGGTTCGAAAATTTTAAGCACAAACAGCTATGTTTCTCATCCATCCATTTCCTTCCTAGTAAATTATCAAAATTTATTAAAAAAAGGACTTGGGTTCTAATCAGTGGTGAAATCAAGGGTGACTAAGGGTTCGTTTGGGACAGCTTTCTTAATGCTTTCTAAAATAATGTTTTCGTTAAAAAAATTCTTGAATTGTAATTTTTTGTACTCAAAAGTTGTTTTAGAAAGCAATGAGAAAGCTGTCCCAAACGAAGTCTAAGATTTTGTTTGGAATAACTTTCGTATTGCTTTATAAAACAACTTTTGGGTACAAAAATTTATCAAAAAAAAAAAAATTGTACTGAAAAGTTGCTTCAGAAAGCAATAAGAAAGCTGTCACAAACAAAATCTAGTAATAGTTCTTGCTCGTCTAAATTAAAAAAATCTCATATAATATACAATTTGAAAATTTTACCCATAAATTATCTAGTAATCATGCATATTGTATAAGTTTAGCAACTCTAATTTAAAATACCAGCTTTGCCACTTCGAACATCACCAACATCATAACAAATCCCATTCTATGGATTTTCGGGTGTGCAAAAAAAGAAAAAGAAAAACACTTACATTTACTTGGGTTGATTCCAAATTGAGACAAATCTATCTGTCCAGTCCGAAGAACCTATTATCAAATTGCCGGTCAATCACATATCATTAAGCAAATGAATTAATTAAACTATAAGAGCTATAAAAGTAAATAAATATTATATGAATAAACTAATGAACTGCATATAAATATATTTTTCTTACATGACTAAATGAATCTACTTGCTGACGGAAAGGTGGACTCTGCAGCAAATCCATTAGTTCATGAGGACTCCATGAACCCTGATTCGAAGACAGAACAATGAGAATCTGCTAGTATTTAACCATGCAACTTGCAAAAACATATTCAGCAATACCTCAGGCAAGTATGAGGCTAAACTTTGTTCTAATGGCAATGATTCAATCAATGGCAAAAGAAGATCTGGCTTCAAAATATCTCCCAAACCGAAACCTACACGTAAGTGTAATTATGATGATTCAGTTTTATTTTTACAATCAAAATGACCAAATCTGCGGGTAGATGAGAAGTCTTACCTGCATCTGGATCTTCAATAGTATCAGCTGCGCCGATGGCAAAAAGTAGTTAGAATAGAATTAAGAATGGAGGAGCACAGGCACAAGGGAAAAATAGGACGATACCAGGTGTTTGGATATTTCTCAATATTCTTTGCAAATCTGCCAATTTTACAGGTCCAGCTGATGAGGTCACTTCACCAGTCAATTCCCCAGCCATGTTATGGTCAACCAAATTCCCAGCTCTATGCATAGGGGATACCAAAATTAGCATTCAAGCATAACTACTCCAAAAAAAAGACAAAGCATACTGAAAATTTGAAACATGAAATAAGCTTTTAATCAAATGGGGCAGATTAAATTTACATTCAATAGAAGACTATTGAAATCAGCAATGAAAATATTTTCCTTAATTGAAAAAATATACAAAATAACTCATCAGCAGCAGCCATCGTCACCATATCCCAAATATTTGGGGCTAGCTATCCTATTATCAAATTAAAAAACCATTTGGTGTTTCCAAATATTATTTCCAGGCGTTGCCTCCCTCCCACGCCCTCACGCACACCACACACATGACCAAACCCTGAAAAATGGAAAAAAACCTTGCAGCTTCTTGGGTGAGTGAATATTTTGCTGACACATAATTTAATAAAATATCTCTAAAAGGAAGCATACATAGGCGTTCCACTCTTACATATTAATGGAAATTATGCACTGTTTGTAAATAGTTGAATTCAAATATTAATTTTTTTAAAGACAGTTTATGAAATAAGTATATCAAATCAAGATAAAAACATTAAATATTCCTAATGATTCCTTTGATCTGGAATACTCAAATCCCCCAAATTCAACCACCTGAAAATAATATGTATCCAGCCTATTCAAGAGTATCTACTGTTCTTCGAAAAAATACAGTCAAACATAAAAAAAAAAGTTAGATGAGGCAATAAAACTTTTTTCAAAAAAATAGAACATAATGAAAAAATTGTTTTAGAGTGAAGTCTATGGCAATTGGGCATCAGGTCGTGTAAGCATCTCCTAGTTGGAAGTTTCAAGAAGTTATGCGATTTCCAGTATACCTTGATGAGATATCATCATCAGCTGTATCTTCAGAAATTTCTGACATGTGCATAGGAACTGAAGCTTCAGCCTCGTCTTCACCAATGATATCTTTAAAAAATTAGAAAGTAAATTAAAATTAGCAGAAACGCTGACAGAAATTCACACCAATGTAATAACAAAACGTACCTAAAGGCCGATTGATACAGGAATTGATTGAGTTGCATATTTGCATGTCTCCATCAGGTTTTGGCTCCTATGAGTAGTTCACATGTAAACTTTCAGTAAAGGAGTATGGCACTTTATTTTCAGCAAAACAAGCATAAGGAAAGCAAGTAATAAAACATAGTGGGGCAACTTCATATGTAACACCAAAATTTTTACTATTTATACCAACTATCCCAATTTACAAAATAATCACCCAAATTTCAAAATTCAAAGCAAAACTACCAACTTTCATTCTCAATATTTTACCAAATTCTTGATGATTTGATAACAAGTACAAGAGTTCGCTTTTTTTTAGTGATAATTTTGCAAATAGGTATGATTTCAATTCTATTCACATAAAAATCTCCCTAAAAAAAATTTACCTGCATCCAGAAGAAGAACTTCCTATTATCAGAGCTAAACTTCAAAATGAAAACTCTTTCAGAGGATTGCGCCACCTGAATAAGAAACAGGGATGGGAGTATTAAATAAACAAATTCATGCTGCAAGGAGGCGATTGACAGAACAAAATATAAAGGCTCATATAGAAAGAAATACCTTCTCAAATACAGCTTCATCTGGGAAGATGATCTGATCCTGTAGTACATAACATTAAGGAAGCAGTAGTTTCAACAGGAGAGAAGTACTAGGATAACAATAAAATGGATACCAGAAGAAAAAAATATTTAAATTACACGACAAATAAAGCAAATCCTGTTTCAAAAATTTTTAGGCAACCAAGTATGTGACCAAGGAGGCAAAAGGTGATAGCGACAAAGCATTCCCTTTAAGTATCGAGTCAAAGGTTTTTTTTTTTTAAGGATAAGAATCTATCAGATAAGCTTTATCAATGATAAATTATACACAAGGTCAGTTACGGACCAATAACTCTACGCTTGGAGCTAGGAAGCATATTCCCCATCATACATTCAACTTAATGAGCATACTGAGCTAGAGCTCAAATATGTGACCTTTATCCTAGGAACTAGATATCGTACTACTGAAGCTAGAGCTCATTGATGCATTAAAGAAGTGATTATGTATATAACTAACTCTGTTCATGACATTTTCCCCACTGAATTAATGCCAAATTTATGCAGCGTTAAAAATATTAAAATATGCAAAATTAAAGTATAGCAGAATTCTTTTATTCAACCAAAGTTAAAAGGGGCATATTTTATGATATAAGAGTAAATGACAATATGCATAAATTTGAAACTAACATTGAAGATCTGTTAGCTTTCTACTTAGTAGAATAACTATCTAAAAATACATAGGTTATAACTTATACTTAGTTCAAGTTTACAATTAATCAACAAGTTAATTTCAATTTCTTTAGTTTCCTCTAAAAACAGAGGTACCGGACGACTTACAAACAAATGTAAATAGCAAAGAAACAACTACTTGACAGATGTAGAGCAATTCATAAGGTGAAAAAATGGTAAATATAAGGAAAACATGCAAAAAATATTACAAATAAAAAAATAAAGTGTAAGAGAACGGATACATCTTCAACAGTGTTGTGTGTCCGATCAAGCCATTGAAAATGGACTAATCCTTCTTCACCCTATAATAAAAATTCAGTTACACTTCAAAAGCTAAGAGATTAAAAAATGAATGTAAATAATTTTCTCTAAGGGCTGTTTGGTTTACTGAAAAAAAAAAAAAACAAAGTATTCAAAATACAAAGGATTTAAAAATTTTGATGTTTGGTTTGATGAAAAAGGAATGCATAATAAAATTTTGGTGAATTCCTTTTTGACTTTGTAATTATTTTTTGATGTATTTAAAACTCGTCTGTTTCCAAATCTTTCTTTCTGCAGGTTGCTCCACTATTGCCGCTAGCCGTCGGCCACCACCCTTCACCACCTCTACCGTTGTTTGCCTCTTGTAACGGCACCACCAAAGCCATTGGCCACTGGTAGCCTCCATCAGACCGTCACCATCGCCAACACCGTTGTTCGGCTGTTGCCACCGTTAACCTTAGTCCGCTTGCCATTGTTACCACCCATTGAACATTGGCCATCATCATCGTTGGGTTTTATATTGCATTTATTTTATTTCAACTCAAGTAGAAAAAATAATTATCTGCATTTATTTTACATTCATCCAAACAGCTCCAAACATTTTAATACATTATATTCATTCTACATTGTATTTCATTTTGCTTTGAATTTCTTTTTCAGCAAACCAAAAAGCCCCTTACTCCTATACAAAGTTGGGTAATGTGGTAAGTAGGCATACCCTTCCAATTCTTACAAGCCCTTTGCGAGTATCAGGAATGACACGTGTTCCATTGAGAAGCATCTTACCAGCTCGAAACTCCAACATAATTTCCTATAAAATAAAATTCATTTCAATGAAAGATAAAACTTATAGGCCTTCAAGAAAAAAAATCAAACAAAGAGTGAAGCTTTTTGATGATTAAGTTCAGTCATATAGGAGTGGAATCCAAAAAATCAAACTTTCTTAGTCATTCCTATGAAACATGAGCACAAGAAATTGCAAGCCCAGCAAGAGCTCTAGACAAATGCCATAAAATTTATTGCCATATTTCCTTCTAACTATAATAAAATTATTATTATGTCCTTTTCATATACAAAACTTCAGCTATATAAATAATTTGAACTCTACATCCCTTTTTTTAAGATCAAAGTTTGAAGTTCAATTTCATAATAAAGATGGCCTGGAAGATATATTAGAGCGACTGTGCTTCGAAGGTTTAAAATATCCAATCTAACACATTCAAATTTTAAATTGATATCCATATAAACGCAAGGTAAGTAGTTAATCAAACTTCTTACAACCCAACATTTAACAATAGCTGAGCAACATTAAGTAGTAAGTCAAACTGTATACATCATCAAAATCCAGCCATTCTAGATAATAAATTGTTCCTTAAAAAACAATAACGAGCAGGATAGAAAATAAACATTTAGTTGCATACTTAATAATTTGCCTTTGAGCATTCCATGAAATACCAACACAAAATCAGCATTCGCTTTACACCAGACATTGGGGTTTTAAGGAGGACATGAGTTTCAATTATCATTTTTCCTTGGCAAAGGCAAGTTTCTGTACAGTGAATTTTTAAGCATGATTACCTACAGTGCTAGAAATACCATAACTCTGAACCGACTTTGATCAAATAAAATTTGTTTGGAAATTATCAATATTATTAACACTAAAAATGTTGAAAGTTAACAGGTTCGTCATACACATTTTCACATTTAAGTAGTGAAGCTAACTTATACTTGATACAGAATAATAGGAAGAAAATCCAGCTTACAGAGGAAAGCTAAAATCATAAAGTGTAATTACTTGAAGGCTACTTATCCGAAGATCTCATACTTAAGAAAATAGCTCTCCTTCCAAGTAAGGATGATCGAAATATTTTTTTATTAATATTGTATTTTTCACTATTGTTTCATTACTTTCTTCCCTAAGTGGTGTGGTCGACCACTACAACTCTTCGAGAAAAAGTTTGTATATTTTTACCATATTTTTCATAGCTCTTCATTTATTATTTATATCTCATGATTTAATGAAAATAATATGTTTGATCTCTAGCAGAGCTTGTGTTACAAGATTTTACTGCACTTCCATCTTTTGAATTGATTTACAAATGAACTACAGTAAATTTTATAAACCCTAACACATCTCTATCCATCCCTAAACTTATTCTTCTACATCCCCACCACTTTCCCAAAGCCTTTTAAACCATCTCAATCCTCATAAAAATTGAGCTATACACCTTCCACAAAACCCTAACTCCTAATATCCACCTATAGTGACCAATCCACATAACAAAATCTTAACTTATTAGCTGCAAATACAATTAACATAAAATTATCTCTATTAGTTCGCTAACTTCCCAAACCACTAATTTGGAGGTCCTCGCATTTTTTCCATTAAAAAAAAAAAACTTGGCCAACTATTGCCAAAAAGTTTTAAAAAGAAATCCATAAAAAAAAAAAAAAATCCTAAAATAATCAAACCTTTTATTTTGACCTTCTGTCAACCTTACCCATCCACCAACTCCCTTGAAATGCATTAAACACATCATCAATACTTCCAATGCTAATACTTATCAAGCTACAAATCAGCTCATTATTATTATCATCATCACCAGTAACAACTATAGCATTAGTCTTCTGAAAACGAATTTAAATTTGAATTAGACTCAAATTAATATTGACTCAATTTCAAGACGATATGTATGATATCCCTAGTGTTGTCACTGACCACTAATCAAGATTGAAGGATAAACTTCCTAACCTAACTACCCAAGCCAATTAAAATCTAAAAATGCTGCCCCCAGTCCTTTGGGTATTCCAACCAAGTGGACACTTTAGGTATAAGAAGAAGGCCCAAGGCAATAGAATGAAGGAAAACATAATTATGTAAACAAAAAAACCCTGAAGACTTGCTGCTAGAGTGTTGAATAAAATTGAAAAAGCATTTATAAATTTAAGCAAATTTTTTATTGGAAAACCATTTATCTTCCTTTCCATAGAATTTTCCGTTTTACTTGTCTGTCCTTGCTAGAAACTTTAAATCCTCGCTGAATTTCCTCAAAACAGTGAGCAATTTCACTATTTCCATGTTTTCATGTGAAGAGGACAACACTTGTAAGGTATTGGAAATAATCTAGGAGATGAAAACTAAATTTGTAAAACCCGAAAATGTCAATTTTAGACATCGCGCGCTTTTTGATGCACCGTGATGAAATTTAAGTTGATTTTCAAAGTTGTCGAATTTCAACGAATTTAATTTTATAAAATTATACATAAAATTTCGAGCAAAATGATATAAAAGACATATAGTGAATTTCGCTTAATTTGGAAGTTAAAAATTAAATAAGTTCCATTATGACTAAAATGCCCTTATTAATATTAAAGCGAAAATGAGTCTTGAAAGGGGTATTTAGGACATTAAGCAATTTAACATAACCATTCCTTCTTAAGGGGACCAAAACTCATTCAGTCCCCATTTGTATTTTTTGTTTTTGGCTGAACGCAAGGAGAGGCGGACAGAAGGAGGGCGGTGGGAGCTACGCGACGGTATTGCTAGGGCGATTTTCCGGTGAGGTCCTTGGAGGGAAATTGTAGGGGAAAGCCTAAGGAGCACTAAGATATGTTTCTAAACCTAGAAATCTTTATCTTTTCAATAATTTTTGAAAAGAAAAATCTAGGGTTTGTTCAAAACTAAATATTTTTTAAGAAGTTTGATAGTGAAGGTTTAGGAGATGATCTTAAGCATGGAAATGAGATTTTTTTCTCCAAAGTTTTTGGATTTTGAAAATTAGGGTTTTTTCCGATTTTCGCCTTCTTTCAAAAAGTTTTTGTAAGAATGCTTCCTAATGACATTAGAAAGCCTCTATTGAAAGCTAATGTGATTTTTATGAGAAATTTCAAGTTTCACAAATTAGGGCTTTTCCCTAATCATGAAAACCCTTAAGTGTTATGGTTCCAAATAGACTTAGGAAGGATTTGAGAGGTGAAATTTAGGGTTTTTACACAAAATGCTATTTTTTTGTAATTTTAATTTAGATTAATTCAAAAATTAATTGCATTTTAATTAATTATTAGGTGTATGGGAGGTTTTCTTATGCATATGTTATGAAATGGACTAAAGGAGGGTTCTCAAAAGCTAAGGTTTTGATGAAATCCAAAATTTCGAAAAATTAGAAGTAAGATTAATTAGAATTGGGAAAGGGTTAAATTAGGAAGTTTAAGAAAAACTTATGGGTAGGTTCTTTATTCTCATGATTTAGGGATTAAGAAAGTTTATGTGGAAGCATGTAACATTTAAGCATTGTGTTATGTTTCTTTTAGATATTAGACGTGGTAGAGGGAAGAACAATAGGGCAATCGGCAAATCACACACCGAGGTGAGTAAACATATTTATATATTACGATAATTATATCATTTCATATTTTCATTTAATTGTTATTGCAATTTATTCATTTTACTGCATTTTAAATGATTCAATATTTCATCTCTCGCACATTAAGTGATTCATTATATTCATGCATAAGCCCTATGATAAAGCATAGTATTATAATATATGAATATGATATGATTGATATATTGAATGATTGCATGTGCACGCTGAAATGGAGCTCCCCCTCTTATGGTACTAGCTGGGGACTGATGTAAAACGATCATGCAAAGATGAATTACTTGAAGAGTTTGCACGCTTAAGTGTTAGAAGCCATAATAATCATATCTTTACAATGAATTTTCTAACGACAAAAGAAAACACTAAGAGTAGTAAAATAAGCTTAGGCTAAATCACATGCGTGGAAGTTAAGATTGCAAACTAGTCAATTAATGTGACGTTGCATACATGATTGGTTTTCAACCATAAATCTCAATGCTAACAATAAGACTAGTCACTACGAGGAGATCCCTCACTCAACTCTTCTAAGTACTAGGCTTTAGCGGGGAAGCATTAACGTGACCGTCATGAATCTACTAAGACCACAATTGAGACGCAACTTCAAAGATAAAAGAGTCGGGGAAAGAGTTTACCCAAAGACCAGAAGATATGATGTTCCGGTGGCTGTAGGAGGGCTTAGAAGGAAGTACGTGACACTTGAGAACCTCCCCGAAGGTGCGATCAGCAATGTGAAACGTCAGGACAGCGTTTGAAGGCCTTCCACTTGGCTGGACAGCAGAAAACATGTGCAGATTTTCCTGGACAGAAAATTGCACCTTTGGGAGAACTTGGACAGCAATCTAGACTTGTGAAGAACTCTTGGACAGCACGTTCTCAGTCTTCAGAATTCTGGACAGCAGCTCTTCTCAGGAAACCAAGCTTTTGTTGATCCGTTGGAAGGGGAGCTAAAGGTGCATGGGATCCAGAACTTCTCCCAAGGGTGTCTCATATTTGGGGAATTAATTCTCGGAGCTAGGGGAGAGGTAGGCGGGTAGAAAGAGGGGAGTTATTGCTTGCCTAATCAGTGGTTTTAATTTGGAAAGGGAATTAAGTGGGTGAGGAATTAGTAAAATCTGAAGTTAATTTGGATTTCCTAAGGAGAAAGAGAGGGATTAATTTTGAATTTCAAATTAATCCACAATTAAGGCTAGGGGCGACAGTTTTGGAGAGAGTTATGGGAGGTATTAAATGGGCTTTAAGTGTAATTGGAGAGAGAAAGACAAGGGGAAGGGGGGCCGGCCAGGAATTGGGGGTTTTCGACGGTATGGGGAGAGAGGGGAGAAAAATGAAAAATAAAACAAGTACAAGGAATTACGAACTCACAAAGAGAACGTAAAGCCGCGAACCTTAGAATCCTCCAAATGTTGACGGGTAATACTTTCACCCACCCAGG